GTCATTTTATGAAGCCAGCATTACCCTGATAGCAAAGCCAGAAAAAGATGCTACAAGAAAGAAAAGTACAGGCCAATATTCCCGATGAACATTGATGGAAAATTGTCAATAAAAGACTAGCAAACCAAAAAATTCGGCAGCACATTAAAATATCATCCATCATGATCAAGTTATAGCTAGAACAACCAGACAAATCAATAAGGAAAAAGAAGACTTTTTATAAACCAGTTGACCTAACAGACATATACAGAACACTTAACAGTAGCATATACATTCTTCTAAAGGACACATTGAACAATTTGCAAAATAGACTACATGTTAGGCCACAAAACAAGACTTAACAAATTTAAGAAGACAGAAACAATACAAAGTATGCTCTCTGACCACAATAAAATGAAACTATAAATCAATAGAAGGGAAACTGGAAAATCCACAAAAAATTCTCAAAACAAAGCTCAGGACCAAATGAATTCACTAGAGAATTCTACCAAACATTTAAAGAAAAATTAACGCTAATCCTCCTCAAGCTCTTTCTAAGAATTACAGAGGCAAGAAAACTTCCAAACTCATTCTGTGAGGTCAGCATTATCCCGATACCGAAGCCAGATAAAGACACTGCAAGGAAAGAAAAATAGAAACCAATATCTTTGGTGAATATTGAAGCAAAAATCATTAGTAAAATACCATCAAAATGGTATTCTTTCATCAAAATGAATTCAACAGCTAATAAAAGGATCATTCACTATTACCAAGTGAGGTTTATACCTGGAATGTAAGAATGGTTCAACACATCAAAAAATCAATGTAATACTACACATTAACAAAATGAAGGACAAAAAAACCCAGATGATCATTTCAACTGATGCCAAAAATAGTGTCAAAATTCAGCACTATTTCATGACAAAAACACCCAACAAACTAATAATATAAGGAAAGTATTTCAATATAATAAAAGCCATATATGATCACAGCTAATACCACTCTCAACAGTGAAAGACTGACAGCTGTTTTTCTAAGAACAGGAACAAGTCAACCATGCACACCCTCACCACACTATTCAACATAGTATTAGAGGTCCTAACTATAGCAATCAGAGAAGTCAAAGAAAAAAAGGTATTCAAATTAGAAATAAATAAGTAAAATTATCTCTGTTCACCAATATGATTTTATACATAGAAAATCCTATAGATTCTACCAAAAAATTTTTTTGTTAAAGCTAGGAAACAATTTCAGCAGTTACAGGATATAAAATCAGCACACAAAAATCAGTTGTTCCAATATACTACCATGACCAATCACAAAAAGGAGTCAAGAAAATGTTCCCTTACTATAGCATCAAAAAGGAAGAGATACTTAATAACAGACTTAACCAATGAAGTGAAGTATTTGCACAATGAAAACTAAAGACACTGGTAAAAGAAATCAAAGAATATACAAACAAATGGAAAGATATCTCATGTTTGTGAGTTGGAAGACTTCATAGCATTAAAATACCCAAATTAGCCAAAGCTATCTACAGATTCAATGCAATCCCTATCAAAATCCCAATGGCCTATTTTGAAGAAATAGAAAATACATCCTAAAAGAGGAATGCCAGAATGTCTCACCTCCTAATTTCAAAGCATACTACAAAGCAAAAGTAACCAACACTATATGGTACTGGCATAAAGACATATATGTGGATCAATGGAATAGACTAGAGCACCCAAAAACAAAGCCCTGAGTATATGACCAAATGATTTTTAACATGGGTGCCAAGATACAGAGTGGAAAATGGGTCAATGTCTTTCACAAACATCACTGGAAAAACTGTATATCTACATGCAAAAGAATGAAGTTGGATCCTTACTTTAAATCATATATAAAAGTTAACTGAAATTAATTACAGATGTAAATGTAAGACCTAAAATTATAAAACTCCTAGAAAAAAAGCACAGGAGAAATCTTCAGGACATTGGATTTGACAATGATTTCTTAGATCTCACACCAAAAGTAGAGGCAACAAAAGTAAAAATAAACAAATGGGATTACATTAAACAGCTTTTGTGCCTCAAAGAAAACAATCAACAGAGTGAAAAGGCAACCTTCAGAATGGGAGAAAGCATTTGCAAACCACATATCTGATAAGAAGTTAGTATCTAGAATATACAAAGAATTCCTATAACTCAACAAAAAACAATTTTAAAATTATTTAATAGTGTAAATATTAATAATAGAAAACAGTATGGCAGTTCCTCATAGATTAACCATAGAATTAACATATGTTTTAACAATCCAGCTTCTGGATATATGCCCCAAAAAAAAAAAAAAATCCAAAGCAAGGTCTCAAAGAGATATTTACGCATTCATGTTCCCTCCAGCATTATTCACAATAGACTAAAGGTAGAAGAAACCCAAATGTCCATGAACAGAGGACTGGGTAAAAAAAAATGTAGTATATACATGCAATGGAATACTACACAGCATTAAAAAGGAAAAATGTCCTGTCACATGCTACGACATGGATGAAACTTGAGGACATTATGCTAAGTATAATAAAGCAGTCAGAGAAGTTCAAATACTGTATGATTCCACTCATATGAATTATTTAAAGTAGTAAAAATCATAGCAACTGAATGTAGAAAGGTGTTCACCAAGGCCTGGGATGGGCAGAGGAAATTAGTGTTTAAAGGGCATAGAGTTTTGGTTTTCAGGATACAAAGGTTCTAGAGAACTATTGAACAACAATGTGAATATACTCAATACTGCCAAACTGTATGTTTAAAAAATGGTTAGGATAGTAAATTTAATGGCATATGCTTTTTACCACAATAAAAAAAAGAATAAAGAAAACTAGGATTCAATGCTAGATCTGACTCCAAATTATGTACTTATAACTGCCAAATCTAGTTTACTATGAAACACAATAAACTCTACTTATTCACTTGAAAACAATTAGAGAAATGGGTAATTTCACACTGCTGGACTATTTCAAGAGCACCAGGGGAACTTCCTTAGCAAACTCCTCACTGAACTTCACCAAGGCCACAGTCAATCCTCATACCTGCCACTGGTAACCACACAGCAATGGAAATTTTACTTAACTAACTAGCTGATACCTCTTAAGTGGATCCCTAATGCACTTTTAAATATTAATGAAGAATATTTTCTCTGTGAGGAAACTGCCTAAAAAGTAATCCTGTAAAAAGAAAAGAAAGAAAGCCCACAGTTTTTAAGATAGCTGTATCAATAAAAGACTACCAGATTAGTTAAAAAGATTTGAGATTAATATAAACCCAAAAAGGTCTCTGGGCTCCCAACCAAATAATGGTTATTGGTTTAAGCCACTAAATTTTGGAGTGATTTTCTATGCAGTAATAGATAACTTATGCTTATCTTGAAGTCTACTTTGTCTGATATTAATCTAGTTAAAACAAGTTTTTAGAATTTTCATTTTTATTATATATTTTTGAAGTCTTTTACTTTCATTTTGTACCATATTTTAGATATGTCAGTTTTAGATAGAAAATGTGCATTCAAGTGTCTTGCATGATAATATTTGTCTTTCTTTTAATTAATCTTTACCTTTGGTTTTTAATTACAGTACTTAGTCCCTCTACACCTAATATAATTACTTATATATTTGAGTTGAAATTTATCTTAATCTTAGCTTTTGTATTTGTCCCACATTTATGAAACAAATGTTTAAGATATAATGGTTTTCTTTCCTTTTATTCACTTCTTTGTGTTGATTATGCTTAAAATTCTGTTTTCCTACTTTTAATTGCTTTGTAATCTTGTAGGAATAGGATTTTGGAATATGTATTGGCTTTGTACTAGATCATCCTAGTTATGCTAAAAAAAACAAAAAACAAACAAACAAACAAACAAACCCTCCACTCTTTATTGAGCCAATGCACTTCAATATTTGTAACCTCTGCCAATACTTAGCTCAGCTCTCCTGCCTCATATCCACCTCTTCTGGAATCAACAGACTCCCTTACGGAACAAAATATTTTTATAACTTAAAATTTTAATATTCGAACACTTTCTGGATCTAAATCTATTATTTTGTTTTGTTTTGCTAACCCTTATTTATGATGGCTCATTTTCTTACGAATTTTGAGCTCATATATGGCTGATCTGTGGGAATCCTGTTTGAAGTTGCATTCCCACAGAGAAAAACACTATTTGATTCCAGCAGGTAGCCTCAGATCTTACCAACCTGGAAAAAAATGTAACCTCATAGTTTAGAATCTCCTAACCACCTAAGTTGTGTAAATTAAAAACCTAAACTCAAAGATCAGAAGCATAATCCTCAATATGAAAATTTGTTCATTTGTTTTTTCCATCATTTCATTTACCTAAAATTGAGAATACCACAGATAAGTTATTTTCTCCCTTTGCTTGGAAGAAGTAGCATATTTGTTTTGTAGACTATCCTTTCTATTAGGCTGAAGCAGTTAAGTACTATTGGATGTGAGGGTTGAGGGTTTCACCAAGGATGTAGTTCTTTTGAAAAAGAAAAGAAAAATAGACTGACAAGCTTTAAAAAAAAAATGAAAAATGGGGTGCCTGCATGGCTCAGTTGGTTGAGTGTCTGACTTCCGCTCAAGTCGTAATCTCACAGTACATAAATTCGAGCCCCACTTTGGACTCTGTGCTGACAGCTCCGAGCCTGGAGCCTGGAGCCTGCTTTGGATTCTGTGTCTCCCTCTCTCTGCCCCTTCCCCGCTCATGCTCGGTCTCTCTCTGTCTCTCAAAGATGAATAAACGTTTAAAAAAAAAAAAAAAGAAAAAGGAAAATGCATTACTTTACAAAAGTAATTAGAGATCCTATTTATAAAATAAATGAATTAACAAACGTGGTTTATGCACAATTTTTAAGAAGTTATTAACTGCAAAAGCAAAAACAAACATTTATCAATAAGTGGTTTTAAATTTTTTATTATGTCATTGAAATCAAGTTAAAGACAAAGGTTATATCATTTAAAAATAACAGTACATAAAAAATGACCTACCAGATTTTTATCCACAACAATATATATTTCAAGATATTGAGGGTATAACTTGAAAAATTCAGTTCTCTGTAAAACACACAACATGAGTGCTGAGGAATTTCCAAAAATTTACCTTCTGTTGATAAAGTGAGAGACTGATTATATAACAAAGCCGTTCTCAAATACAAAAGTTAGGTACTATTCAGAAAATTCCAGGTCCAAAAAGTGCCTTTGGTTAATAAGAATTTTCAACAAGATCCCACGCTATACAAGAATCCAGGTATCTTTTGATTTTAGCAATAGCTGAAATTGGAAATCTTAAGTTTACAACATAAATCTTTTCTTTCTTGCCTTGTGATAATGTTCATAATAGTTTTCCACATAGGCAGATTTTCTGCTACCAATTATTAGGAAACTACTTTTGGCAAACAATAAAGTTTAGAAAAACATTACTAAAGATTATAATCAATGGCAATTCACTAGAGCCAGGAATGTTATTTATGACGGTATAGCAGTTTACAGGCCTTTGTGGAAGAATTCATCACTTTGCTTTACATGTACTTTATGTAGGCCACAATAGTATTCATTCATGAACTCTCATGAAACAAAGACTTAACTTAGAAATCCAGATCATGTAATATTTTAACCTAATTTGTCAGCCTAATTGAGAAAAAGGAACCATTTACATTAGTCATCCAAATGTCTACATGTGAAATTAATTTTTTTTTGGTGTCTTAACTCCTATGTTCACATTTGTTTCCCAGATTAATTACCTAAGTTTTCACTATGCTTTGATCTACTAACAAGCTGAACAAAGAACTTTACCCATTTTAAAAGTCATGGAGGGACTTCATGAAAAAGTAAAATAACCTTAAGATCTGTAAGTCATTAAATTTTGCTCTGAGAGTATTTTTCATTTCACAAAGTTTTAACAAATAAGTTAAAATTAAAAAGTCAACACTTACTTCTGAACTCCTTCTGATGTGATAATATAAGTTATTATAGCTATAAGTCTTATTTTCTCCTAAAAGAGGAATATTAGTGTTATCATTTTTTTCTTCATAAATCATGTGCACGAATCCTGATACGGCCTCCATTGGTTCAATTCCATATGAGATGTTTTTAAGCTGCAATGTTCCCCTGAGTATTAAAATCATCAAAACAAAGTCCGAAATTATTCTAACAAAACTATAATATTCTAACGTGGAATTTTAGCCAAATACATTTTTTTTTTACATTTAAAGTCACCTTGGTTTCTCCACTTTACCTCTTTATGCATTGAAGTGTTAAACTCAGAACTAGGCCAGTAATACCACAGGAAGCCTATTGCTTTATATGACAAATATTCTAAGAGAAATATCCTGATCATCTAAAGAAAGCATATTAGTGGCATAGATCCATGTGATTGAACAGATTAGGATTCCTTCCTAGGGTATAGATTTTCTAAGCCAACCTGTCAGATCTTCAGGCACTCTCTTCCTTAGTTTTAAGTCCTTTCTTCTTTTTGAGACATCTAATCTTTCCTGACACTTAATGCCATAAGTCATTTTTTTGTGGGGGGCTTAACTGAAGGTATTACCTGCCTAAAAATGGCTAGAAGTAGAGCCAAAATATCTATCAGATCTAGGCATTCTACAATTGTGAACCATTCTAGGAGATTAATAAATCAGTAAAAACATTAAAAATCTGGAAAAACTAAAGAAGTATGGAGAGACCAACCAACCCTCCCTACACTCAAGACTGCTCAAAGCCTCAAGCAGTCAGAATCAACAAGTAGCCCTCCATCAGGGACAAATGTTTCCAAGGTGACCAATTCTATTTTATCAGTAATTCTGGTTCATTCCTTAGGGAACTGAAATAACAAAGGTGAATATAAAACTAGAAAAGATAAATAGAGAATCAACTCATAGACTAGCAGGATCTAATACCAGCAAATAGAATATCTTAAAAGGCTACAACCTGAGTCCTGAACAAGTGTTGAGTGACACAAGAGAATTTGGAAAACCTGCAACATATCCTTGATAATTGCAATCCATCTGAAAAGAATATACAAGAACAAACAGATAACTTATTTTTAAAATGGATATCCTAGATGTGTCATTTATTTCTATTACTTTATCAATATTGGAACTTCAAACTGAATGGACAATTACCCAATAAACTTGTGCCACGTAGAAATAAGACGTAGTCCAGATTATTAAACGTCAGTGAATGTATACATTTCAGGATATTTACATTTTTTACTTTTTTAAAATGTTTACTTATTGAGAGACAGAGAGAGAGAGAGGAAGAGGAAGACAGAGAGCAGGGAAGGGGGGAAGGGGAGGGTGTAGAGAGAGAGGGAGAGAAAGAATCTCAAGTGGGCTCCATGCCATCAACGCAGAGCTCAACACAGGGCTTGAACCCACAAACCACAAGCTTACAACCTGGACTGAGATCATGACCTGGGCCAAAATCAAGAGTCAGACACTTAGGGTGCCTGGATAGGTCAGTCAGCTAAGCATCCAACGGGCTCAAGTCATGATCTCACAGTTCGTGAGTTCAAGTCCCACATCAGGCTTTCTGCTGTCAGCACGGGGCCCTCTTTGGATCCTCTGTTCCCCTCTCTGTCTCTCTCTCTGTCTCTCTGTCTCTGTCTCTGTCTCTCTCTCTCTCAAAAATAAACATTAAAAAATAATAATAATAATAAAATAAACATTAAAAAAAATGGAGACGTACACTTAACCAACTGGGCCACCCCGGTGCCACTGAAATTAACATTTTTAAAGATAATCTAGAGAAAGAAATCTGTAAGGAAAAGCTGTTTTACCTGAGCTGACAAAGGCTTAGAATATTGGATGTCATCTTTGTCATAAAAGTAAACAACAGAAACCAAAGATAAAAATGATCTAGAATAAAATCACAAAACATGTTCAATCTGTCAAACAGAAAACATGAAACATAAAAAATTATTCTTCATAATACAAATTTTCCTTTTACTGATCAATTATAGCGCCAGTTACCTTTGCATATCCTCTTGTCCAAATACTTCTCTGTTGTTTACAATAAATCAAGTGCTGAGGGAAGCATTTTAACTCTGGTGACATATAACACTAAAAGGCATCCTAATGAACAATCCAAACAGCTAGAGATAGCAAACAGTGTAAATAACATAGGTCCCAATTTCCGGCATAGAACTTTAAATTTTTTTTAACACTTATTTATTTTTGAGAGACAGAACACAAGTGGAGGAGAGGAAGAGAGGGAGACACAAAATCTAAAGCAGGCTCCAGGCTCTGAGCTGCCAGCACAGAGCCCAATGTTGGGCTCAAAACCATGAACCGCGAGATCATGACCTGAACTGAAATCAGACGCTTAACTGACTGAGCCACTTAGGGGCCCCTCCAGCATAGAACTTTAAAATCTTTGTCTTTATTACTCACTGATTCCAGATTTTAAACCTGAATCTTAAAATTAAAAACTAGGTTTAGGACAGAATTTAAAAAATATTTTCTTAGCATTACTACAAATTCATATTCACTAAGCTTAGCTAAGTACCAAGTTCTCAATAACCTTTGTCAGAATTTTCCTTCATTATCCTCAGTAACAATTCAGAAACTTGACCCCACTCCTGCCAATCATCTCACATAATCTCCACATCATTTCAGTTTCGGATCACCTATATCTACCCTCATTCCTCATCTTTTTTTCCAGAGGATGACTACTTCTTTTGTTCAAGGCACACTCTTACACTTGTGCTATGAATCCCATTCTATGCCATATATTGAAGATACATACTTTTTCAATCCTATAATTTCAAACTATTCCCCTCTACTATTTTTTTAACTTAATGCTATTAAAAAGTTCATTATCAAAGTATTATCTTCATAAATAATTCTCCCATGACCTGTGTCCTACTTTAACTGTTCTTTATACATTTTCAATTCTCCAAAGATACTCTCATAAGAGTAGTCTACAAATAATTTCTCCACTTTGTCCATTCTTAGTCACCCTGAAACGGCTCTGGAAAAGATTCATAGCTGCCAGAATGTCAGATCCAAAAGGTAATTTTAAAATCAACATTGCCCTGCTCTCTAGCATCATTCTGAAAACTGTGACCACTCAATATAATCACTTAATTTACATCACACATTACTCTTCTGCTTCTCTTCCTACCTCCCTGACACTTCCAGCTTGATCTTCCATGTTGGCTGCTCTTTTTTGTTCTACCTATCTCAGAAATATTGATCTTCACCAAGATTTAGTCTTTAGTCACTAGGCTATTCATAAGCACTCTATAAATTCTCATTTTTTATTTTATAGCCAAACTATTGGTTACTGCTAAACCTATATCCTCATTGCCAATCTCTTCTCATATATTCAAATTCTTATATTCATATTCCTAGTGGAGAAAATCCACTTGGATATCTTGTAGGCATTCCAAATCAAACTCACCCCCTTCCCCCATATATATATCTCACTTATTCCTCACTTAATTAACTATAACCTACCCATTTTCTCAAGCAACAACTAAATTATCCAAGATACTTCACTTTTTCCCAATCACTCTAACAAATCCATCTTCAAGGTCTATTGAATTTTTCTTTCCAGTGCTATGAACAATACCATTGTTTAAGCCACCATCATCATTCACCTAAATTATTACATAACCACAAATTACACACCTTACCTCTACTTCTGCTTTCTCAAAAACAGCCTAAACTCTCACTGGGACTATAACATACTTGCTTAAAAACATTTTTGGCTTCTAATATCCTTAGCATGGCTTTATAGATCTTCTACAACCTGACTCCTGCCTACCTTTCCAAAATGTTTTACTTCTATCCTCCAGAAATATGTCCTTTAGTAATCCAGGTGGACTTTCTACACACCACTGAATCCACTCTGTCTCATACCTCCATGTTTTGCACATGATTTCCTCTAAACAGAATGTCCTCCTACACTACCTCATTTCTTTACAGAACTCACAAGGTATCTTCCTTCAAGAGATAAGTCATCTCTTACTTCCTTCCAAAAACCTTCATTCATTTCCAAAAAACACTATTTACACATTACAATACTATGTTATAGCAAAATTCTCCCTTTCTCCATTATTTCATCTGAATATATATGAATTCTTTAATTGCAGATCATGTTTTATTATCTTTAGTATGCCTATGATTTTACCCAATAATCAATATGCAGTAAGTATCACATATATATAGGTATTAAATATACCTATACTGAATTGAAATTATTCTATGCATACCTATTTTTAAAAATCAAGAAACCAGAGAATTAAAATTTGAAAGGATAAAATTTTTACTTACTGCTTTCTGAGATGGACAAAATACGGTTTTCCTTTTATTGTAATGATATAAGCAATCTGTAACATGAGTATACAAAAAAAATCAGTGAAAATACTTGTAAATAACATATGCTAAATAATTTCTTTTCTGAGTTGTTTTAAAATATTGAAAAAATTAATAATAAGATATAACCATTACATATGTTTCCCTTCCCATGTGACTATTTGAAGCCTCGGAATTCTAAATGGAGAACTAGGTAGTAGTCGCTGTCTATTATTCACCCTAACTAACATTTCTGATGGAGAATCTTGCCTAATGACTATTACCTTTTGGATTAGACACATACCACCCTTCACCATGCCCAAGGCAAATGCCAAAGACGCCCACCTCACTTGAAAGAATCCGTTGCTTGTTTACTCCCAGACCTCCTAAAAAGTATATTGTTGTGCTCAATGGAATAAATACTCCAAAAGATAGCACTACAGGAAATGCACTACACCTCCAGCAGTATAACATAATAAGTACCACTGCACTTTGCTTTCCACACATAAGCAACAAAACTCCTCTGGAATAGAATGTGAGAGAGGATAGAGGGGAAGCAGAGACATGTCTAGAAAACCCTCCAGAAGATAACAGAAAATATAAGAGTCATTAAGTCATTTATTCAGCTACTTTTTAAAGATAATTTTAACAAGAGAAATAGCCTCTTAAAAGTTTTCAGTGCCTTAACTTTGTATTCTAGCAGAACAAGAATCTTTGTAACAGATAAATGTTCTGAAAGAGTCATCTTAATGGCACTCTAGAAATAAGTATAAGTGGAATCTTGTGAGGATCTTGAGAATTGTGCCCTCCAAAAATACCTTGTTACTAAACAAATATAATCAAAAATAAATGGAATAAGGCAGCATCAATAAATTTTTAAATCCACACAGCTTACAAAACAAAACAAGTAGAATTTAAATAATAGGAAATGTACAAAACTGACAGGAAGAGAAAAAAAATCCAAAAAGACATTATCTAGAGCTTCTAAAACTTTTCATACGCAATATCCAAATGGTTGGGTTGAATTGTGTCTCCTTCCTTCCAACATTATATGTGAATTCATTATCCCAGGACCTCAAAACATGACCTTATTTGGAGATAGGGTCCTTACAGAAGTAATAAAGTTAGGTCATTAAGGTAGGCATTAACCAATCTGACTGATACCTTTATACAAAGAAGAAATTTAGGGGCACCTAGGTGGCTCGGTTGGTTGAGCATCTGACTGATTTTGGCTTAGGTCATAACCCCAGGGTTATAGGATCAAGCCCCACATAGGGCTCCTCTGCACTGACCAGGGAGCTTGCTTAAGATTCTCATTCTCTCTCTCTCTCTCTCTCTCTCTCTCTCTCTATCCCTCTCCCACTTGTGTGCAGGTGCATGCTTTCTCTCTCTCTAAAATAAATAAATAAACAAACAAAAACACAAAGGGGAAGTTTAGACACAGACATACACAAAGGGAAATGCCTATGAAAATTCAGAAAAAGATTCCATCTATAAGCCAAGAAGAGAGACCTGGAGCAGACTATCCCTAACAGTCTTCAGAAAGAATCAACCCTGCTAACAACTTGATCTTGGACTTCTAGTCTCCTTTGTTGAACTGTGAAACAATACATTGTTGTTGTATAAGGGACATGGTTTGTGTTACCTTGTTATGCAAGCCCTAGCAAACTATTACACCAACTTTCAATAAAAAATTGTATGAAATGCAAAAGAACAGGATCAAATTACCAAAATCAGCAAAAAAGAAAACAAATAGATAATTATAACAAAGCTACAGGTAGTATGTATAATGACCATGACTAAAATGAGAAAAATATGGAGATTTTCAGAAGAGTAAAATATCTAATAAACAAACTGAAATTCTAGAGCAGAAAGAAATGTAATATCTTCTATTAAAAAGTCAATAAAAGGGGTTTGAGAGAAGATCAGACAGAGCAGAAGACAGGATTGGTGAACAAGAATATAATAGGTCAGTGGAAAACATTCAGATTGACAAATTGAAATTAATACCAAAACAAAAATAAGAGAAGTGTGACCCATTAAAAATGTCTAACATTCATGTAATTTTGAAAACAGGAGAAAGATATAGAGACTATGAAAGAAATATTAATTAAATATCAATAATTTATGCCTGGGGCACCTGGGTGGCTCAGCTGGCTAAGCATCCAACTCTTGATTTTGGCTCAAGTAGTGATCCCAGAGTCGTGAGATTGAGTCCTGCATCGGACTCAATGCTGGGCATGGAGCTTGCTTAAGATTCTCTCTCCCTCTCCCTTTGCTCCACCCCTACTGGCTCCTGCACTCATGCTCTATAAATAAATAAATAAATAAATAAATAAATAAATAAATTCCATTAAAAAAAAGAAATAATATCTGAGATTTTCCAAAGCTTATGAAAGATGTCCACTCACACTCTCAAATACTCTATTAATCCAAAATAGAATGAATACAAAGAAAACAAACTAGGCATATCATACTCTAACAGCTAAAACAAAAAGACAAAAAAACATATATTTAAACAGCAACAAGAATGAAAGGGTGCATTACTCTCAAAAGGCTTTTAAATAAAGTATGCATACTCCCACAGAAACAATATGGAGAACTAGGTAGTAGTCTTCTGGATACCAGAAGACAATGGAATGGTATCTTTAAAGTGAAGAAAGAAAATGATATCCAACCAAAAGTTTATATCCAGCAAAAATATACAGCAGATACACAGCAAAATAAACACATTTCCTCACAAGAGGAAATGACATAATTCACTGACAGCAAACCTACACTAAAAGAAACACTAAAAATAGTGTGTTTCTTTTTTAATGGGAAGTAAGTTGCTCCAAGATAGAATGATGAAAATGTATGACAATGAAAACCACAGGAAAAATAAGTATGTCAGTAAATTTAAGTGAATATCATTTGTTTTAAACAGTGATAGTAAATGCTATTCTCATTAAAAAAAAAAAAATAGTTGTAAGATATATGACAATGGCATAAATGACAAAAAGAACATAAATGGAGTAAAGCGTCAAGGTCCTTGAGCTTTTCAGGGAGTGGCAAAAATACAAATTTAATGTAGCAGGTAAAAAATTAAAGACACATGTTATAATCACAAGGTTAACCATTAAAAGAATAAAAAAGAATACATCACTAATAGCCTAAAAAGACAAATTAGAATAATAATCACATCATGGATTATAAAAACAGAGGAAAGGGAAAATTAAGAAAGACCAAATGATTTTAAAAATAATAATTACACACTTTTATATAAAAGAGAAGCATTTTAAATACAAAACACTGAAAATAAAAGGATTAAAAGTTATACCATGCAAACAATACCCAAAAGAAAGATAACTATACTAATAGCAAGCAATATATAATGTAATTCCAAATGAATTATAAGAAATAAAGGGGGACACTTTATAATGATAAAAGCATCAATTTAAAAAAAGTTACAGTCTTAAACATTTTATGTACTTAATATTATATCTCCAAAATATATAAAATAGAAATTGATGGAACTAAAATAAATTATATACAATTCAAAAGCATATGTGGAGATTTTATAATTCTATCAGTTATAGAAAGGACCCAAGAGAACTACCAGTAAAGCCATAAAGATTTGGACAGCACAATCAACTAAATTTATCTGACGTATATACAATACTACATCCAATCACTGAAAAAGAAATATTCAAATGCACATATAACATCTTTCAAAATAGGTCATATGAAGAATAATAAAACAAATCTCATCAAATTGTGATAATCTAGCTTGTATTCATCGACAACCAACAATTAGAAAATTAACATAAAGAAACACCATTTGTCACAGTATTAAAATATGTTGAAAAACACTGAGAATAAATTTAAGAAAAGGTTTTCAAGACATCAAAAATAAAAACTTCTAAGCCTTACCGAAAGAAAAACTAAAATATATGGAAAGATACACCATGTACATGAATTGGAAGACTCAATATTGTTTAATTTCCCCTAATTTGATCTATAGATTCAATGAAAACTCAATAAAGTCATAGCAGGTCATTTGTGGATATAAACAAATTGAGCTTAGAATTGTCAAGACAAGAATATGAAAAAAATAAAGTTAGGAGTGCCCACACCAATTTATATTAACTTATAAAGCTACAGTAATTAGGGTAATGAAATATGGGCCAGAGTTTTGAAAAACAGTCCAATGGCACAGAATAGAGAATCCAGAGAGAGCCATAAATATATACTTATCTGACCTTCAGTAAAAACTGAAGGTGGCCACTATAATATGGTGAGGAAAAATGGTCTTCCGTGCATGCTGCTTGGTGAATTCAGTATCCATATGGAAAAAAAACAATGAATTTTGACTTCTCTATCTCATGATAGAAAAAAAAAAAAAAATCCAGATAGATCACAGACTAAATGGTAAAAGGAATATAAAGCTTCTACACAAAAGCACAGAAATATATTGTATAACCTTACAGTAGACAAAAATTTCTTAAATTAAATGCAAATAGCAATAAGAAGGAAATAAAGGATGAATAAATTGAGATTAACTGGTTAAGTTTTGAGACAATGGAGAAGACAAGCCACAGACTGGGAGAGAATATTTGTAAAAGACACATCTGATAAGGGACTGTTATCCAAAATATAGAAAGAACGCTTACAATTCAACAAAAAGAAAATGAACAATCTCATTAAAAAATGGGCAAAAGAGGGGCCCCTGGGTGGCTCAGTTGGTTAAGCGTCCGACTTCAGCTCAGGTTATGATCTTGTGGTTCGTGAGTTCGAGCCCCACATCAAGCTCTGTGCTGACAACTTGGAGCCTGGAGCCTACTTTGGATTCTGTGTCTCCCTCTCTCTCTGCCTCTCTGTCTCTCAAAAATAAATAAACATTAAAAAAATTTTTTTAAATGGGCAAAAGAACTGAACCTAGGCATACCATAACTGAACCTCACCAAAGAAGATATACAAATGGCAGAAAGGCATATGAAAAGATATTCACATCATAAGTTATTAGTGAATCGTAAATTAAAATAAGATTTACTAT